CTCAACGTCGGCCTGGGTCCGAACAGGTAGCAACCTGTTCGAAAACAAAAGAAAAGGTCCAAACGTTTTTAGGAGCTCAGCCTCTGGGCCTGAATATGGCCCTGGTCCTAAAACGTGTACCTGGCCACAAAACGGACAACAGTACAACCGTTAGAAAAACAGCAGCAAATAAATAAATAAAAGAATATAAAAATAATCTAAAGCTGGTGTTTTTCTGATGCAGGCCCAAGTAAGAATGCCATAGGGCCTTCAGGTTGCGGTGACGCGACCTGGGGGGCCCTATTCCAACCTCGGGTCCCGTGAGGGGCCCGTGTGTAGGCTTTCAGCATGTAACACATGGGCTTCAATCACGGAGGTGATCCAAACTGCTACCGGATCAGCAGCTTCCATCACGTCTATGATTGAAGACGACACCACGTAAGGTCCTATCCGCTATAGCATGGCCTCTTTATCTACATTTTTTTTTTTTTCCTGTTGAATATCTTCCATTGTGTTTTTTTTTCGGTCTTTTTTCCCTCGACATCGTCATTGTCGTTCCTCCTAATCATCCCCTTCCTTCTCGTCATACAACTGGCAGCACGCAATTCTATTCCTCTTCATCCCTATCGACTCGTCCTCTTAGTTCTAGTCCTCCCGACTCTGCTCGCTCGAAATCGCCATCCATCCTCGTCGCATTCATGACCTTCTGTCCCCATCCTCATCATCATTGTCCTCGTCCTCGTCCTCGTCCTCCTCCTCCCCGTCCCCCTCCTCCTGCTCTTCATTGTCTCATTATTGGCCATCCACGTCAAATGTCGACGCCATGTGATCATCCCGGCAGCTGCAATCCAAGTGCCTCCCACGTAACACTCACAGCTGATCGCAAGTCCGGCCACAGATCCTATCGGATTGGAGCAGTCAGAAACTGGTAGAGTGAAATGGCGAAGCGAGAAGAGTGCGCAATGACGTATGAACCGAGCGAGAGAGAGAGACGGGCGATGGCACACGTATTTGCCGGCGTATGCAGGCTTGCCTCTCCGCCAATCTGTCGATAACACCTGCACGTATTTGCCAGCGAATGCAGGCTTGCCTCTCCGCCGACCTGCCTATAACACCTGCACGTATGTCGGCAAGTCTGTCCACCGATCTCCCTATGTCGCCTGCCTCTCCACCGATATGTCGATGCCGCGCGCTGCTCCGCCTCTGCACGTATGCGGGGCCACCTCTTCATCGATCTCCCCAAGCCTCGCGTTCCGCCTCTGCACGTATGTGAGCCCACCTCTCCATCGATCTCCCCAAGCCTCGCGTTGGGCCCGCTTCGCACCCACAGGCGGACTGCCGTTCCAAAACTTCCCGCCACTGGTCACAGCCGGCTTTTGGTTGGGCCCAACCTTGGTCCCCTGACCCTTTTCCCAACACTGACAAACCGGGTCTCCCGTGGGAGCGTCACGCGAGACCCGCAATGTTACGTGCCAGTTGGGCGGTGTACATATAAAACCAAGGATCCACAATGTGATGAAAAGGACTGAATGGACAATGCAGTGCTAGTGAAATCTCAACAAGCAGTGTACATCTTGATTCATACAAAATGGTGTTTTTATAGCGCAGTGGACGATCTAGATACTAGTCCTGACCTGACCGGGACTGACCTCTCACACGTAGTACAAGACAACGTGGCGAAGACAGCGTAGCGAAATACTAGAATACAAATGACTGGTCCAATCAATGTCGCAATGCAGATCAAACATACATCATCCTTATCACAAAGGTGTGAAGGGGGCCTGGCGCCACACACAGGAAGAATGCGCCAAGTCCAGATCATGCACAGACAAAGAGGAGGGAGTCAGACAAAGAAGAGGGGGGTGAGATGGGGATGTCATCACACCAAGTCTTCATTACAAGTCCCAAATAATCCCTCGTCAAATGTCTGAAACCCAATGTCGAGTCTGGACCAAATGTCACCAATCCCGCTCTCTCGTAGTCTGCTGATGCAGTGAAGTCAGGTAGCGAGAGGGTGAGAAGAAGATGGTGGACTGAGAAGAGGAAGAAGAAGAACTCTCTCACTCTCTCATGTGCCACGTACTCACCTGTGAAGATGGTGCTGTGCTGCAGGTACCTCGAAGACGAAGCTGGAGCTATGGCGCTGCAGGTAAGTCTCCATGGCCTCCGCCCAATCTGTCGCTCCCTCCAATACTACTCTACCTGCTACTAGCGCCCAACGCTGAAGACTACTGCTAACGTTGCCAGCGCCCAGTGCCGAAGACTACAACTAGCACTACTACTACTACTGCAGCGCTCCTCCAGAGTGCTGCTGCCGACTCCTGAAGACTACCTCCTGCCTCCTGAACTGCACATGAAGTGCCTGGGAAGTACCTAGGAACTACCTGCTGGCCTGCAGGGCGGGCCAGTCCTATATAGTGCTGGCCCGTCCAGGAGGCTGCTCTTGCCAATGCCGAAACGTGCCAGACCCTGGCGTTGAACCTCAACCAGGGGTTGTCTTGAAAACAGGCCCGAAATGGCCTGTGCTAAAACCCTGGTTTGTTGCTTGAGTTTCAGGGCGGGTTGAACTGATGAGGGCCTGAAAATGGCCCTCAGTTTCAGGCTGAAAAGACTCAGGGCCGAAAAGCCTTGTTTTAGCCTGAAACGACACAGGGCATGTAGGCCCTTGTTTTCAGGCTTTCAGGCCGAAACGACACAGGGCCTGTAGGCCCTTGTTTTCAGGTTGTTGGCCTGAAAACGTCACGGGCCTGAAAATGGCCCGTGCAGCCTGTTGCAGGCGCAGCACGTAACACACTATTTTAAGATAAGATATAAGAAGAGTATATATTGATAAGACTGTTGCATGGGATTTTCCTATTATACGATATATCCTGGTGCAACGTCAAACATTCCATCGCATCAGCCTGCAGGTGTGTTCACCGGCCAGCTTGCGCAGTTTGAGCAGATTTGTGACAATTGGCATGATTTCATAACTGCGGCAACCATGCTTGTCCGCCGTTTGCTTTCCCGTGGCCATGCTCCTTCGACATTGGCCCAA